CTGTTTTCCGGCACGGGTTGATGACCTACAGTTCTGGTGATTTTTTGATAAAAATCTTAAAGAAGGTGATTTCAATAATTAAATTGTGAGTTTCTGAATAGATATTAAACGACGTATGGGAAATATCTTACTGAACTTGCTCTGGGAACAAAAATGGAAACCTCGGTCTTCAAAAAATCTCCGGCACTCGGCTACACCTCGTGCCTACAATTTTTTAAAGACCTCGGTTTCCATTTTTCTTTCCCAGAGCCGTTCAGTAATATATATTCCCACAATGCGGTACTGCATGTCTATCTATGGAATTTGCAACAAAACCCAGGTGCGTCGTATCCAAAAATTAGTCAACTTTGCCGCACGTGTTGTGACCGGACGCCGGAAAACTGATCACATTTCAGATGCAGTACGAGCGCTGGGCTGGTTTACTGCTGAAGAGCTCATAACTTACCACCGAGTTCTAGTCATTCACCGACTGTTAGACTACCATGTGCCGTCACCCATAGCTCAGACTATCTGCCCTCCCGCTCACCATCAGCACGATCACAATACACGGACTGCGGGTCTCCTCTCTGTGCCGCGCATCCGCACCGAGTCAGGGCGCAGTCGTTTGTGCTACAGTGCTGTGAAGGCGTACAACGACGTACCGAGACCACCCGGAATGTCTTTCAAAACCGCTACCAAGCGGCATCTGTTTAGCCGCCGCGATTGACGCCTATGTATGTACTCGTATCGTTCGCAGACGTTATTCGGGCATGAGTGGTGTGTCGTGTCTGATTTGCAGTGAGCTGTGAGTTTGTGAACGAGTGCCCCCCATCAACGATGTTTGTTTACTTCTGTGACGTGCAATGACGAAAAGCCACTGATTGCAGTGGACTCGTTGTGAATAAATAAGTTTCAAATTTCAAGATAAAACCCTTACTTTTGATTTAGTAATACTTGTAATGCTAGTAATAATACTAGTAATAAGTAATACTAGTAATACGTGCGACATCATCAAGCCCATGCTGACTATCGTATTGGATTATTTTTCGTCCTTACTGCACGCTAACCAAACAGGACCATGTGTAGGTACGAATGAGAGAGAAAAGACATGCTATTGAAGCTTACATAAGGCCTTCAGCATGCCTCAGAAAGAAACAAATCGTTGCTATTCATGAGTTCCCGTCACAATCTTAGATTCAAGACATTCAGATTCAAGACGTTCCACATTTTGAAAGCAATGTGCTGCTTTTAATAATGTGATTGAAAGTCTGACTAACTGATCAAAGCCCATCAAACTTGGAATAATTCTCAATTAGGTACTCAGCGTATCACTCCCATCCCTTTCAAGGTATTTCCTATTAGAGAAGCACTATTCTTGGGGACCAAATTCTATAACTTCTCCAATACGAACTACGCCACGTGTAAAAGTGCGAACTTCGCCGTTGGCTTTCAGTTAGCTCAAGAGATGAAGGCAATTTCGCTGCAAAGTTCCGACGCCAGAAAGGTAATTGTATCTCATCCGTGTGTTTCATCAAATAAGGCAGATTGCAATAGGAAACTTAAGTGAGCAATGTACGCGAAACTTTCTTCCGGATGTTGATGATAAGGTATTAAGCTGTCAGCGATATTACACTTTCTAACGCCCTCAATGCCACCTAACGGATATGAGACATGCATAATTGAAGAGTTTTGTCTCACAAGCAGCATGCTTCGTTAACGTTCACTTCATTAACACACATGCTGTTCAGTATTTAGTTTGTTTAGTTTATTCGCATGTGTTTACTGGTTAGTTGGGCTTGTAACATTTTCAGGTGGCATTAAGAAAGAAAAGAAAGAAAGCCGATAACGCGCTGTCTGAAGGTCCTGCGACTGCTACAGTATGAGGATGCGTGCTGGGGTACTCGGGAACTGTATCATGAGTGTTGCCTTATTTTTACTGTGTTTTCTCTTCTCTGTAAATTTTATGAAGGTCAGCACATACAATTGTCAGTCATCGAAACGTAATATTGGTAGTATTCAGTTGCTTTGTGACAGCTCTGATATCATCTTCTTGCAAGAGCACTGGCTTTTTCCCTCCGATCTTCCGAGCTTAAATAATATCAATTCTGACTTTATGGCGTATGGCGTATCTTCTATGAAGCCCGAGGAAAATATTGTTATAGGGAGGCCTTATGGAGGGGTAGCTGTAATGTGGAAAAGAAAGTATGCACCGTTTATGAGAGTAGTGACCTTTGATGACGACAGAATTATTGGTCTGGAATATTGTTCTAACGAGTTTAAGATCTTGTTCCTTGGAATTTATTTGCCCTATAACGCCAATCATAATTTTGAGGAGTTTGTGTTCTGTTTAGGGAAGATAAGAGCAATTATTGAAGAGTTTGACTCTCCACTCGTCTATATACTTGGAGATTACAACGCTGATCTGGTTAAACTTACGGCCTTTGGCAGAGAGCTTCAATGTTTTTGCGATGACTCTAGTTTGATTGTAGCGGATGACTTACTTCTTGACAGAAATTCCGTTACTCATGTCAATGATGGGCATGCCTCAGAATCATGGCTTGATCATGTTGTATGTACTTCAAGTGCTTACGATCTTGTTCAGCAAATTATTATCTCTGGTGACATTCATGGCTCTGATCATTTTCCCATGACCGTAACGCTTGCGACCCCTGATCCTGGACATGTGACAGCTCCTAATGAAGAGGTTGGGAGCACTAAATGGGTTGTGGATTGGTCGTCTCTTGACGAACATAGTATAGCGATGTACCGCAGTTGTGTCGAGGAATTTCTCCAGGACGTAGACGTACCGTACCATGTCCTTGATTGCACAGACGCTGCTTGTAGAAGGCACTCAGATGAGATAGACAAATACTACCAGAGCATAATGGCATGCCTGCGCGAGTCTTCACGCCGAAGCATTGGCAAGGCGGTAACAGGGAATGGCAAGGCCATCTCAGGGTGGAATGACTTTGTCAAGGAAGCCCACTCAGTTCTCGGGGACATATACTGTCTGTGGGCGTTGGTAGGTAAACCAAGAGATGGCTACATCTATGATCAATTGAGACTGGCTAAAGCTCGATTCAAGTATTCATTGCGTTGGTGCCTTAGGAACGAAAAAGATCTACGGGCTAAGTCGATGGCCGATAAACTAGCCAGGTATCCACGAAATGTATCCTCTTTTTGGAATGAAGTTAGAAAGCTCAACAGTTCGCCACCGCTAGCATCTACGGTTGGTGGCGTCACTGGTGCTTCTAATATTGGTGAAATGTGGAAGAACCATTTTGCTGAAATACTTAATTCAGTGACGGACCAAAGCTTAAGGCCTTCCGTACTGTCACAGCTTGATGCTGACCTTCCTGATATCCCACTTATTTCGGTTGCTGAAGTTTCCAGATCGATACGTGATCTGTCATCAGGTCGTAGCCCAGGGCACGACGACCTACAGACGGAGCATTTAAAGTTCGCACCTCAATCATGTGTTGTTCACCTCTCGCTATGTTTCAGTATGATGGTAAAGCACGGGCATCTGCCTCAGGCCCTTACTAAAGTTGTATTGGTCCCAATCGTGAAGGATAAAACTGGTAATATCTCGGAGAAGGACAACTACAGACCAATTGCTTTGGCCAGTGTTAGCTCTAAACTTCTAGAGACGTTGATCTTTATGCGCTGCAAGGAGAACCTAAAAACAACTGACCATCAATTTGGTTTTAAGCCAGCTCATGGTACTGATATGGCAATATATGCAGTCAAAGAAATTTCAGATTATTACCTTAGAAACAATAGTGCCGTGTATGTTTGTTTTCTGGATGCATCAAAAGCTTTTGATAGAGTGAATCACTGGAAACTCTATGACAAACTTTTAAAGCGTGGAATTGATAAAAGCCTCGTTAAACTTCTAGTTGAATGGTACGGTACTCAGCTTTTTCACGTCAAATGGGGTGGTGTCACAACTGGCGGTTTTAATGTAAGTAACGGCGTGAGGCAGGGAGGTATACTTTCCCCCTTCATGTTCAATGTGTATATAGACTCTCTTTCTTCAGCACTGGATGAAACTGGCGTTGGCTGCCGTTATTTAGGCAGCATGAATCACATTGCTTATGCTGATGATGTCATCCTTCTTTCGCCATCTCACCATGGCTTGCAAGTGCTCTTGAATACTTGCGAACGATTTGCAGAGGAGTATGATATCAAGTACAACACAAAGAAAACTGTATGCTTGATTATGCGTCCAAAGGCTTTGAAAAATCTTAAAACTCCTGAGCTGTCTCTATGTGGCACAATATTAAGAGTTGTAAGTGAGTACAAATATCTTGGTTACTTCATGACTGACAATGTGCGTGATGATCTTGAGATTCAGCAGCAATATCGTATGCTGTGCTGTAGAACCAATTCGCTTATTCGCAAATTTGGCATGTGTACGTATGCTGTGAAAAAGTATTTATTCACGACCTACTGTGCTTCTGTGTACTGTGTTCACTTGTGGCGTGCTTATAGTGCTGCGGTTATAAGAAAATTCAAAGTGTGTCTTAACAATGCTGTCAGAATATTCTTTGGCTACTCCAGGTTCTGTAGCGCTTCGTCTATGCATGTGTGTGAAGGATTAGATAATTTTGACGTGATGTACCGAAAAGCAGCATGGGGTTTCATGCAGCGTTTAGATGCATCCACCAACGCGATCATCAATGTCCTGGTTGACAGTGACATACGCCGGCGATCACCGCTAAGAGCGGCATGGAATGATGCTCTGGGAGTGCCATGAATCTTCATGTTATGTAACATTGGACCAAGTGTCTGTAAATACAAAGTTCTCTCTCTCTCTCTCATTAAGCTAAGGAAGATTGCGCCAGCTGGCTGCTGTTGCAGAAGCGAGCTAAACAAAAAATGCAAAAGTAGTTGGCACTTCTCAGGAGATAAGCCAGCTGTCCTTTCAACAGATTTGCATCACATAACACAGTTCTAGGACGGCAGTAAGGGCGAACAGCGCGCTGCTCTGTGTGTGATTCTGCGCCGTTTTGACTCACCGCTCCGTCGGCCAGCGGACAGCTGGGGCGGTGGTTGGCCACCTCAGGGATCGGATGGTGGTACTTGAAATTGTACTCGTACGGCTCCAGCATACGGATCTTGCCCCACCTGTAATGCAAAAAAGTGGCCAATTTCAGGTTATCATTTCAGCCAATCGTCCCTTTTTTTCCTAAAACATCCATAATACTTTTGATGGTTCTCTTACTGAAGTTCGACTGAAAGTGAGCTAAATCATGCATTATCTTGACAAAGTGGACGCGATTGATGCCTTGTCTTCCTCGGCTATCGGGTCACACACCTGTTGAAGAATAGGACTATGGCCATCATCCAGACACCGAGCACGATGACGATGATGCCGATCTCTTCTGCGCTGAGCATCTCTTCTCGATCGCTGTAGGAAGACGGGACGAAGCCGAGCGGCACTGAAATCACACGGGACAGGGAAAATGTGAAATCACTGAGTAGCGGAGAGGGTGTGACGTATAGGTGGATAGCCGATCTTCACACAGTCTGCTGGGAAATTCCTAAAAGCTATAAATATAAAATGGATGCGTACCGGACGAAGAGGATGGCTATCTGTCGCACCGCAATGCAGAGAAGCAGTAACAAATTTGACATGTTCTGAAACCATAGGTAGGTAATGAAAATCACAATCAGCACACTGCTGTAGCCGGGTGTAGTGTCGATAGCTCGAGCAGAAATATGCGAGTGGCAAAGACCTCTAAATTCAATGACCTAAATTGTGCTCTGAAACTTGCGCTTCCTGCCGAGCACCTGAGCGCACGCCTCGGCGGCAAAGTTTGCACCACGTGCGAACGGATAGGGAGCGGGCTGTTAGCTCCGGACGGTAAACAGACTGCCTGCTCGTAAATGTCGGTCTGAAGGTCAGCTGAAAAGGCGCGTAAACAAGGCGCTGCCATTACACGATAAATTCATCAGGCAGTTTACAGTGTCCATACACAACGGCAAAAGGAGGTCGAGCGGTCATGGTATTAGTGCGTGGAGTAGCATTTCTCCTTGAGAACCCATCAGTGAGCTTTTCCTTAAGCGATGCCTTGTAAATGTTAGCTGGGAAAGCGGAATTTGTCTTAAAAATACTTCTAAAGCCTCATGTCCCAGCTGGGTATTGGCGCAAGTCTTTTGCTCCGCATAAGACTTCCCTCAAGCATCACGATTCATCAAAACTTAGTACCTGAGAGATCAGAGCAGCTCGTGAAGCTCTAAGACTCCGAAACTCCAACGTATTTCCCCGGGAGCGGTTTTAAGCTAAACAATGAATTTGTGCCGTATCGACGTGAACGTCAAAGACACAAAACTCCCACATGCCACGTCGTAAGAGTACATATGTACCTGCTTCGTAAAATGCACAACTCGAATTACGGATACGGGTCGTTTCAGTCCTCACGGTATCACACAGTAGCGCAATGATTCTTAAAGGGAAAATGGTCGATAAGTGCGAGAAAAAAAACGGCACAGGCACACAAAATATTTTATCCGTAGGCAAAGGTCGTGAAACGCAAAGAGTAAATAGCACCATTTGTTTTAAGGACTTTAACACTGATGATGATCACAATCTATATGATAAAGCATGAGGAAAGCGTGCTGGGTGTGCTATTTACACGTAATAATTTACGCAGCCGTAATATCGTGACAACGCGTTCTGAATGGACCGTATACTTCAAGCAACGTACGCTCATAAATCACAAGACTTTATCAAGTGACGAACATATTTCTTTGCGAGTTCTGTCTCGTTTATTCAGGTACCACGCCGTTAAACTAAGCGAGGACTGAGCTCATCGTACGTGTGAAGCGCACACGCTGTTTGTGCTCGTAATAGATCGGTTCACACAGCATCATGAGACACCAAGCAATTTATTTTTCATTCTTCATCCTACGCAATTACGGTGTCTTTGACCTGAATATGGCAAAGAAAGCGATGACGGCGAAGAAAGACAAATGGACGAGGGACATGTGAGCCTACTTGTGCATATTAATGTAGATATTCAAAACATTAACAGTATCCTGGTGCAATGAGAGTTGATGAGGTCGAATCGCTTCCAAAGTTTTGGGCATACATTTGTGTGCTTGGTCTTTTCCTAATCGGTACACTAGTCAAATAAAAAACGTTAGCTTTTATTCTATAAATACCTTTAGCTGTTGCGGTAATTAACCGGAAACAGACATTACACAGCACTCATGCATCGCAAACAATAACTATGACAATATTTTGATCCTATGTGTGCTAATACTTGGTGAAACATCTTTCAGTCAAGCAAGATCTCGACCAGTTCAACGTTCTGCCAAAAACCGGTGCTCCGGGCATTTCCTCTGGCGCTGACACCAACTCTGCGTTAAATCTCCCTGCGGTTAGACGGCCACAGAAGCAGGACGCCCTAACTGGCCGATGACATGCACAAGCTCCCCGTGGTCCGCGCTAGCGATTTATTGCCGCGTTTCCCGGTCGGTATCGCGGTAATTTGTCCGCATATTGAGCCAGCCGCAGCCGCTAAAGGCGGTGAAGACGCTAGTTAAAGGCACCGGACAGAGATATGGCAGAGACGTCCCTGCTAGAGCCCGTGTTACAGCGGCGAAGTCAGGGAAATGGGTGCTGGTGAACTGCTTCAAATGGTTGCGACAGACCGCACGATAGACGACGATAATATGGAAATGACTTATGCATTCCCCATATTCAAGTGTGATAGGCTACTCACAAAAGTGGAATGTGGAATTTTTATCACTGCCACTTATATAGGTATGCTTGAGGAAGATTTCCGAAAAGGATCAAAAGAAACAAAGACCGCTTCCATCATGCCCACAGATATTAAACGGAAAGTACTAAGTAAATGTTTAACAATTATTCATGGTAAAAATAAAACAGCTTATTTGGGATTGACAAATGTACACACTTAAATACCTACGCAACAACTCCGATCTCAATGCTCATACAGGTTTCCAACAACCAGCCTTTGCTAATATCCGCCTTCCGATACCGTTTACGCGTCATTAGCCGTTTTCAATACCCTCTTTGCGGAACGCTTTATCACTTGGAGGCACATAAGATCGCTTTTACTGTCTTTTGTTTGAGACAATCGATACATATTGCTTCTGTGACATTGACAAAGAGCTGCCTTGACCTTCTGAGCAAAATGGCCGCATCACAACGATTGCTAGCAGATGGTGCTCGTTGCAGGTCCAACAATCGATGACGGACTGGCGTGACGCTGATATGACACACAGTCATGAAGACGGGCTTTGATCCGAGCTCGGGGTCAGAACTCCACAGGGGGACGTGAAAGGAGTGAATACAAAGAGGGCAGAAAATGTGACACGTGGCATGGCCCGGCTGGTCATGAATTCTGAGAAAGCACGAGATGCTTGACGGCAATAATTGATAGCCACAAATGCTGGTACAAACTGGCCCACGCCGCGTAATTTTGGCTTTGATATTTGATGCCTTCTGCGCAACGTTTATCATTCTACACACGTCATACATTATACTGCAACGCGTAACCAGATCAAGAAAAATGACCAGCTTGGCAGGCGTACCACTATTCCAGCGTGTGTGCCTGGAAAGTAGGTCGCGAACGTCGTCCCTCAATCTCTAAGCGGTTGCGACGGACGGGACGCTGTGCACGGCGGCACAGTATCCAGGCCAGTGACAGGGGCTCGGGTCGCTCACAGGTAAAAAAAAATATTTGCTAACTTCCGTGCTATCCTGGAAAACCTTACCATCCCAAAGCGTGTTGAATCGACATCTGTCTATCCCAAGGCGTGTCAATGTTTATTCAACACGCCTTGGTTAGTGAGATATTCCAGGATAACACGGAAGCTCATAAATAATTCCACGGTGTAACTGAACGGCTGTCGTTCACTGCCCGGGGCGCCGGTCGAGTACGAAAATTAAACCCACATAAAGCTAGAAATAATATGTGTAGCGTTCCACCAAATTGAAAGCAAATGGTAGGCTTTGAACGATATAGAGGGTCTTCAATCACGCTGGACAAGACATTTGCTGCCCACTGACACTTTAAGGCTTGTGATTGATGGCATCGTTGTTAGGCCATTGCGAAAGATATGCTTGCTTATATTTTACATGTCTAGGATTGCCTTATTGCAGTTTGCATTTCAGGTAAGTTGCAAACGCCCTTTTTTATATGTATGTACGTATGGTACCACAGGATAGGTATGTTTCTATAATGTAAAGCATCTGTTTCCACTATTACCTTTTAATTGCTTGCATTAATCAAGAAATCAAGCCGATTGCTGCCTTCAATTGATTTACCCTTTTCCAATCGTAGGCTGATTGTATTTCACCTTTAGCACCGATACCGGGTAAAAACCAAAATTACATCGGCCCCAGCAAGTTAAACTTGTTACTCGCCACTGCGCGTACGCGGTCGATAATGGCGTAAAGCAATACCACCAGGAAAGCCGTCCGTTCGGGCTATGATCAATACCAATTAGTCGCGGAATTGCCCGGCTAATTCCCCGCATTGGTCCCCAATAAATCGCTTGATCATGTATGCGCGGTGCGGCTCGGAGAAAAAGCGGGCGTGATTCGCCTCGGAAGAACAGACGCTAGCAGGGCTTCAGCCTTTCTCGGCCAGCCACAGCCACCAGAGATAGGGCGAGTTGCATTCAGCTAGAAACACGATATACTTGTGATAAGTGTGACAATCGTATGAATGTCTTCATTTAAAAAGGGCTTACTAGATTTAAAAACATACAGTGAACGTCAGGATATAAAATGTCATGGCAAAGTTATGCTTTTGTTTTATGTTAAACGAATTGCCATATTTCGTGTGATGAATAGCAATGTTCTAGAGACAATTCAAGAAACTCTAAATGCTATAGAAAGGCATCTATCAGGCAGCATGACTATTTCTTTACCACATTTAAAATACTTTATAAATTCACATCAAATGAAACCACCACTTGGCAGCTACCCCACAAAATCTTTCAAAACTAAACGCTGTTAGTCTCGACGATTATCCTCTTCAGCTATCTTATCACGTTTGCATACATAACCGGAAGCTACTGGCGGAATTCGTGTCGGAAAACATCACCCACACACCCGTCCGACAGCCCTGCAGTGGAAATATCACAGCCAACCGCGCTCACGTCCGCTGAGCCACTTAAATCACACCGGCAAAAACACACAGCCGAGCGATCCGCCCCAGCAGAGATGAATGAGTTTAGCGGCGGCAGAGCCGGAAATTCGGAGAGCCGCTAACTATACGCGATGTAGAGAGAGAAGCACCGACGATAAATCATATATGCAGTGGGGTGGTTCGTGATGGGAGGAGATTGTGTTGTCGTAGTTCTTTATGACTGTCGTGTGATTATGATGAGGAATGTCGTATAAACGTTGCCAGCGCATCGCCTCCGCATAGCGGGAATTTAAACGTTACTTAACCCTATTCCTGGCGGGGGGGGGGGGGGGGCCTCAGGAGCCCCCCCTGAGGTTTTTTGGTTATTTCTCCCAAACGCGTTGAGCTAGGAAGCTCAAATTTTCTGACTTTTCCTAAAAGGCTTCTACGCAACATGTCTGAAAATTTTGAGTTGATCTGACCTCAGGTCAGGTCACCAGAGGCGGTTTGGTGACCCTACCTCAGAAAAGTTTGCAATCACGCCAGAGCTAGAGTTTTTGACCGATCAATTTCTTCTCTTCAGGGTTTAGTTAGGGTACCAGTATGTGCAATTTGTATATCTCGGAATTTTGATATCGGTGACCTAAGGTCAGGTCAATTTCGCGACCTCCCCATTATAAGTCAATGGGGGAAAAATCAACTCCCTGTTTTTACCACTAAAACGGGTCGGAATGGCCCCACATACCATACATGACTTCATATACGATCAACCTTCACTACCTTGAGGTCTGTTTTGCTGTTGGGCAGCTGTGAGGTCATGTGACGTCATCAAAGGTCACCAAAGGTTTTTGGCCAATAACTCCGTACAGGAACAAGATACAGGCGCGTGGATGGTCTCATTGTGTTCAGCTCGTCAAGACGCATCGAATGATATACATGATGACCTCGAGGTCACGTGACCTGAGGTCAACCTTTGACCTTGACCTTTCGAGGTCAACATATATATCATTCGATGCGGATTGACGAGAGGATCACGATGATGCCCTTAGTTTGTTCCTATCTTGACTAATTCGAAAGTTATTCGAGAAAAACTCGCTCCATATCTAGCGCCGCCATTTTGACTTTTTCGACCCCTGTGACGTCATCTTTGACCTGACCTGAAAATGACCTCTGTAAAAATTGTAGATCTTGGCCGTGCGTATCCGATGCCGTTTACCGCTTGTCGCTATCTTGCTTCGTTCTCGAGATCTCAGGGGGGGGGGCCGAATCGGCCCCCCCCCCCCCGCCAGTTTCTTGTCCCCGGCGGAGCCCGCCAGGAATAGGGTTAAGTGTTGAATTCCAGTTTTTCGTTAACCCATTAATGCCGCTTGGGTCATATATGACCCAAAAGCAACATCTTAACATTTTTTTCTAAATGGAGGCAAGTGGCACTTTGAGGAACTTGTGCGTGTGTTTTGTTGGATTTGTGGGTTCAGCGACGAGCGTCGGAGCCGCATAAAACTCGTGTGAGCTCGTCCACTGAAGTTTCTGGAGCCCAAGACGACGGGACTGCACAGCCGCCGGTCACTGGCAATGGCGCGCCGTCCCAAAAAGTAATATTATGTTATGTTTGCACTTTACTATCCATTGAATGATCGTCCACCTGGCATCTAAATTTGTCTGAAAAAGACATGATGTTTATTTTTGCCCTTCTTGTCGCCATCGGATAACTTTTTTTCCTCGACAAATATCCTTGGGTCATAAATGACCCAGCCGGCAATAGTGTTGTCAATTTTCTCGTATGTTGAATACAAGGGAAGCAATTGATGATTATACGATTATTTATTTCTGGGGGTTGTGATCAGATCACAGTGGCGGATCCAAAGGAGGGGGGTCATATGGGTCACTCATGACCTCCCCTGGGACCCGGGGGCACCACCGACCTATCAGGGGCACCACAGGCCTATTGTTGCGATGTTGGGATATCATGAGCGGACCGGTTGTCCCGGGCCGTGACGCGGGGCGGGCCGGCGACTCGGCCGGCCGAGGGGCACCACGGGCCTGTCAGGGGTACCACAGGCTTGTTAGGGGCACCACAGGCCTGCAGGAGCACCATCAGCCTAGCAAGAGCACCACAGGTCTGTCAGGGGCACCACAGACCTGCCAGGGGCACCAGCCAGAGGTCTGCCAGGGGCACCATCGACCTCACAGGGGCACCACCAGCCTCGCACGTGCACCTTGGGCTTGTAAAGGGCTCCACGGGCCTGTCGGGAGCACTTCAGGCTTGTCAGGGGCACCACAGTCCTGCCAGGACCCAGGGGCACCAGCGGCCTAGCAGGAGCACCACAGGCCCGCCAAGGGCACCACAGCCCTGCCAGGGGCACCACAAACCTAGCAATGGCACCACAGACCTGTCAGGGGCTCCGCAAGCCTGTCAGGGGCACCTCAGGCTTGTCAGGGCCCAGGGGCACCACAGTCCTTCCAGGGACAACACAGGCCCGCCAGGCCTATGGTGTCCCCTCTGGAGCACCAGAGGCCTAACAGGGGCACCACAGGCCTGCCAGCAGCACCAACGGCCTCGTCAATGAGACGTTGCAAAGCATTGCAATGCAGTGCCTCTTAATATTGTTTGGCTGAGACCGCTATACAGTATACACAATAAGGTATCTAGCTAAATCGGTTTTCGTGACAACTCCTTATTTGTGACTATGCCAATGCCGGTTGGGTCATTTATGACCCATACTTATAACTTGAGAACCGATGGAACAATTTTTTTAAGCTTGCACAGTTTTCTTACAGGGACCCGTGTGGCTAACATTTGTTAAGGACAACTAAAGAATCAAAAAATAAAAATTCCGGCATTAATGGGTTAAAGTCGTGTACCGAATGAGCTAGTTAACTGGATGACTTACGTAGTCGGTTTCGACAGCGATGATTAAATTAACATGTGACATCGGAAAACGGGAAAGGTTTTCTGATAACTCAGAGATAATATTTATCATTTTCTAATGTGCCGGTGCTAGAGCTTTAATTTCGTTCCTCCGAATCCTATGCCGGCTGGGCAAAATGAGCTACTCCCAGACGTCATTAACGAGTGACCTTTTCACCAATCAACTCAACATCTTCATATGAGATATCCTGCACGTCTTGTCAAAGCCCACGTGTCAACACCCCAGGCATACATGCATGCATGCAAACATGAATAGCTCATCAAACTGCAGAACAAGCACTGAATTTAATCTCCTACCACGGTAGTCGTCTCCTCCCCCCCCCGCAAATCCCCCAGCCTCACTCACACGTGGGCGGAGTGTGGAAGAAGATCACGGGACTGGTGCCGACCAGGGAGCCGTTCACGGATGACGTCATCACCAGTCGGTACTGGGTCTCTGGCCGCAGGTTGTCCAGCGTGGCCGAGCGACGGTGGCCGTGCAGGTCGGCCACCACGCGGTAACTGTGGGGTGAGAGGGGAAGTTAACAGAGAGGCTCCTGTGGACAGACGGGAAAAAAGTTAATTTCCCCCTAGGTAGTTGTGGGTACAGGGAAGAAGAGGATAACAATACGAAGTCCCGAAGAATGCGCTTCCCACAACCTCCTTGCGTTTGTTTTACCAATCCACTTCTAGTCCACAGCCGACATAGTTAAAAATCGATCAGTAAAGGCTCTGAATGCTAAAAACTGGTGAGCAACTTCTTTCTTCATCCAAAAATGATTCATTGCTCTTTGACTTCTCACCACCGCAAGCCGCGCCTGCGGTCGCGGCCATAAGAAGCTGAATGGCCGTCACCTGAGCACATGACTCGATCGGCGGCACTTGCAGCCGAGCTTTCAGAGCCAGCCGACCGTGTTCGTCCGAGCTGAATGCCGCGCAGCCGGTGCGCTCTCACGCCAGGAAATGCAGTTTGGTCGGCATACAGCGCCCGGGCGGCCGTCGACCGTGGCGCCCGAGAAACTAACTGAACTGACCGACCGCACTCGGCCAGAAACCAGGTCCGAGTCGTAGTTTCAAAGACGCCTAGATTGGATGGCCGGTCTCCTGATGTCTTTACCGTGATTTGGAATAGCAGGAAGCTGGCAGAGGATGGCATTAATGTGGTTCATTTAAAGTCAGTGCACATGGAAGTGTCGCAAGCACTCCGCAGTAAGCGAATGCATATAAAAATATCTTCAGGTTTGATGTTTGGTGGCAACAGATTCAGCAGCCACCTAACTTACACAATGCACATTAGCAAACTTTTGCTTTAACGCCTGGGCCATTTCAACAAAAAGAATCAACAGTTGCGTTACTGCGTTCCTCTGAGGTTTGAGCTGGCCTGGATTTGAAAGCCGAATATTGCAAAGGTGCCTTTCTTTTTCGCCCACACCTCATTTTCGGAGCCGGCAGGCTACCAGTGTTGTTCTCACTGGAGACATATCTGCCTCATTTTTGGGGGGAGGGGGGCGGTTGGGGTGTTAGTGTCTATCTTTGCCATGTCAAAATTGATAATTAACACATTTTAAAGAGACGAGAAGGCCAACACTTCAAACTTTTAAACGTTGCCTACTAAAAAAAGCAAAGAAAACAGAAAAGAAATAAGTTGTAGCCTCCGTCCTTCCCCAGAACTTAAACTCATAAACGCAGACGATTGGTAAAAAGCCAATTTAGCTGAAGTTCGTAGGCATACCCCGTTCACCTCTCATCGGCGTTAATATGTGATGACGCTTTGCGAAGGCTCGATGACGGGTGGGTTCTCATCGAAAATAGATGTCCACGCACCAGTAAGCACCGGTGCCTGGAGCAACAGGCCTGAATAACTAACGCGCCTGTCAATTTCCGGGCAAAAGGTGGGCCTGCACTGAACTCTGGAGTGCCGCAGAGATGCATGAATTGTTCAGCAGGCGAACGGATTCCTGCGATCGGGCGGGCAAACACCGACGTTTTGCACTGCTTCGCCGCAAGACATGTCCAAGCTAGACACTATTATCGGGCTTGCCTAGGGTCGGAAGCGACAGGGAAGTCATTCGTGGAAACGAGCGATAGAGCAAGAGTTACTAGACATTATAGGATCTACAAAAATGGCTAGTGCTTTTCTGAAGAATGTAAAGCACATGTACCTATAGGAAATAGTTGATGACCGTCAATAAGGGAAAAAGTAAGCAGCATTGTGGAAGAAATAAAATGCTTTTTAAAAATATTTTCTATCGCATGCATACAACATCACAGCCATAAGCCCTGGCAGTGACAGAAAGGCAGGCACGCAAGAAGGAAACTAGGAAGATAGCTGGAGAGAGAGAGAGAGAGAGAGAGAGAGAGAGAGAGAGAGAGAGAGAGAGAGAGAGAGAGAGAGAGAGAGAGAGAGAGAGAGAGAGAGAGAGAGAGAGAGAGAGAGAGAGAGAGAGAGAGAGAGAGAGAGAGAGAGAGAGAGAGAGAGAGAGAGAGAGAGAGAGAGAGAGCTAGTGATAAAGCCAGAGATTAAGCTAGAGCCAGAGGTGGAGCTAAGGCTAGACCTAAACAGACACAGTGGTGCAAAGCTAGAGCTAGAGGGATAGTAAAAGAGTGAGCCGAAAGTGAGACTGGCCTTTTCTCGGCGGCTGACCTGGCGTTGACCGGCCTGTAGATGAGCTGCAGCTGCACCGGGCCGGCGGCCTGACCCTCGCCCTTCCTCCCCCCGCCGCCGGCGGCAGTCAGAGACCAGGTCAAACACACGGCATACGGTGTGGAGTCGCGGATCGTCAGGTTCGCCGGCACTCCTGGAAAATATAGAGAACGGGCGGGAGAGGGTTAGATTGGTGGGATCAGTCAGAAGTATGGGACATATCACAGATGAGGGACCTGTTAGTAAGCTGAAAAATGGAAAATCTGGATATAGAGCAATCAGAAACTGCAAGGCGTTGGCAACGGTGTAATGACTTTATAAACCGCATTTAGTGTTCTGATCTGATCGGCTAGGCTGCTTCTTGAATTGACAAATTTAATGGCATGTCTGGAGTATCAGGGACACCTCTTGAACACTTTTGGCACTTCTAGGACGTAAAAATGTCATTTGCAGTTTACGCGTAGCTGTGCCAACTTAACTCATTACCCCATGTTCACGAATTAGCTCATTATTTCGCTAAGCACCACCATTACGCTTTAATGTTTTAGTGCCCGATTATGAGTTTGCAACTCGCCAGCAACTCGCTATTAAGTCAATCAGAACCTGTGTTTTAGTGCAGTCTAAGTGCAGTACAAACATATTAACGCCCATGGGCCATAACACGTGAAACGGGCTGTAAATCAGTGAGTGTCAACGGCTGTTTGTGAGGTAGATAAGCAGATATTAATCAAGTGCGCATCTGGTGTAGCTTTTATTGCTGAGGACGTAAATAGGAATGCCAAACGCGAAGAGGAGTCCGAAATCCTTGTTCGTCAAAGCATGGATAGTCAAAGGACAAAGGTTGAAAATTCTAGTAACTGTCCTGTCCCGAAATGGCCAATAATATGTAAACTTAAAACTTTAATACAAAAGATGATTGACATTACTTAAGAGAGCGTTGAGCCTTTTGCACTATTAATTGGCTTTATTCAAATTGCCTAAAACTTATTTACTTCGTGATAAGTAAAATACATCATCCTTCAATATATCACTTGGCGCAACGAAATCAGGTCAGACACCAGCTGACTTCTACAGATATCTCCCAGTTGCATTGTTTCACAATCACAAAAAGTGCTGTCGTTCCCAATACGGTGCGGTTGTTTCTCAGAGCCCATCGCACCGCCTGTCCAAACATCCAGCTCCTGAAGAACCGATGCGACTGTGGGGAGCTCTACTGCGCCAGAAAGGCAGCATCGAAATGCCAGAAACGCGCGCCCAGTCACATCGAACACTAAACACGCGCCGTTGGGAAGCGGTTTTCCGTGTAGAATCAATGTCGATTGTGTGGGACGCTTGTGGGTTACTTGGCGGTTCCTGCTAAATCCTCCAGCGACTTTTATTGGGTAGTGTTTCCCCTGCAGGCTCATGCACTTAGCGTGGCCATCCGGAAAGGTTGGGGGCCCGATAGATTGAAATTTAATAGGGCCAGATTAGCAACATTGTAGCACGTTGGAGAGTCGGACACTATTTTGCTATTCTCCATTCAAACGTTGGGCATAGGACTGACCGGCGTAGATGGGGCCATAAAACATTTCAATGGATTCTTAGCCTAGAGAAGAGTCATTCTTTTTATAGTTTCGCAGCAATCGCCACGCAATTTGAAAATGTGGATCGCTCTTGAATGTAAAATACAATACAATTTCTTAGACTTTCTATGTAATACGGCTCAAGGGTGAGTGAAAGATTAGCCCTGGCAAGATCATAAATTGATCACATCAAGAATGTCGTTCTAACCTTCTCGCAAGATGGTTTCCACTTCAACAGGAAGCTTAGAAAAACAATGACATGCACGTACAAAAGGTTTCTCGGAGTTCCAGCTAGAGTTAATAGAATTCGCACGAGCCAGCAGCCAGTTTCGAGGAAGTAAGCATCCATGATTAACCAGAACCCTACGTAAGAGCTTTCGCCGAAGGGCGACAGTAAAGCACTGGTGACCATTACTCCCAGCACACAGTCCGAGTGCGTTAGAGGCTGAAGTAAGCACACCTCCTGTTGAAAGGCGCCGCCGGGTCGGGAGGTGCCACCAAGCCCGAGGCCCCTCCCCGGGGGCCAGCTGGTGCCTAAGAGTAAGTTCGGCCACCGTGCGAAGTTACGTGGCCGCTTCATCTGGCGCAGTCTGAACCCCTCAGAGGGAGGGGGCAGAGGAGCGCGCGGTGCTGAAGTTTACACCCGACTTGACTCAGAAGGGACTGGGGTGTAGTGGACCGTGTGTGTGATCTGAATTGTGGGTCAACAGTTAGATTTACTTTTGGTGTAGAGGCTATAGATGGCTCTCTTGTGTTTTTGACTTTTATCAGTTGTGACAAGAAGAATGAAGAAAACGGTAGCGACCTGTCTCTGAGGCAGTACCGTGTGGCGTGTATCACAATTAAGGTGTGTAATTGGAGGACGATTGTAATTAACGCCACCCAAGCATGCCAGGCTCCTTATAGGGCGTGTAACTGAGCCGCCGATCTTCGCGCAAGAACTGCATCAAAGCGAGCACCACCCGACACGAGATGAAAGGCGCTCCTTGTTTCCTTTCTCGCAAAGAATTTAAACAGAAGTGGCCCAGCTCGTCCTTACGCACGCTTCTGAAGCGTACGCATAGGAAATACAATTCGAAAAAAATCTAAACGATCTCAATCATTTCGCTTGCTTCCTTTTTAAGCTACTAGCTGTGAGCCTGTAGGTATGTCTTGAGTCATCATCTAAGCTCGTTTCTTGCGACGCGTATGTCTCAATTACGGTAAGAAATCAATGACCAGAAAAATTAGCATTGGAAAAATTAGATAAACCTGTGTAAAGGCGTGGTCCTTATGAGCACATCTGAGAAACACGTATTGAGCACCGAGCGCTTCAATCCACAGAGCCACCTGTTCCAAAGAAGCGACTAATAAGATCGGCACTAATCTATACGTGACGCCACCACCTCGTCTATAACGTGTTCCTTATTACCCAAACTCACATAATGAGCGTTCGTTACCTTGGTTACTCGCAGGACCTATGAGCTCGTTACCGTCAATATAAATCTCCGCAGTCCGCACCTATTCATCTAGATCTGTAAGTGACATCCTCTCCCTATATCTGCGAGTCATGGCGTCTATACACCCGGCTGAAAGGTGTGACTGGCATTCAGCGCACATGGCTAAGACGACACCCCGCGGGGTCATTGATGTCACTGACGCAACGATGGTCTGTCAGCAGCACTGCGCAGAGCCTCCCCGCCCCTCTCTCTAGAAGGGTTCGTGTGGCGCACGTCTGAACGGTCACGAGCTGACCGGAAGACCGTGCGGTGCTCAGGGCATTGGTAATATTCTGCTGGTGCGGAATGCGGTCTACCGTTTGCGTGTCGATCATACGATTTCCGGTTGAGTGTAGGTGGAGTAGGTGGGTATATGTAACGAAAATGGTGAGTATGTCTGTTGCTAGGTCTGACGAATCCCGCTCACGGGTCATTAACCACAGGTCAGGCGGCCCGTAGTTTTCAATTAATCATATAGAAAAGAAACGCACCCCGCATTGCTACGAAGACTCTCATAAAATTAAGAAAAAGGTAGGTTAAAGGTTAGGTGGTTCAGTGCCGGGCTTCTGGAGCCCATTACCACTCGATTCTTCACACCCACTGGACGTTACTCACTGCACCCGCCATAAAACCTACACTTCTTGAAAGCTTCTAGAGGCGAGCTCGAAACGCAATTCAACTTTTCACCGCCGTCACTGATGAACTCGCCAGTCTTATCCCTCTAATTCGGTCACGACCCGCTGGGGAGTACAGTTGGTGCTGGAACAATTACCGCCGGGCCGTCTGGAGACGGACTCGGCCTCTCAGCTGGGTCAGTGGCTCAGACGCTGCCGCCCCACCCCGTGACCTGTGACCGGCAGTCGGGTCACACAGTCACACCCCAGGACGGCACGTCTGGCCGGCCAGTCTCCCCAATCCGCCTCTACCGCCGCCGGCCACAGCAGGGACACCGCTAGCTTTTCAATTTATTCGCCGCCAATTTATGGCGGTGAGAATGGTTTTCATTGGGGTTTCGTGGGCCGCGCGGCTCGAGGGACCAGCAGGGGAGGTCGGCCCTCCACTGGCAGCGCTCACACCTTGAGCCATAGATCGCTCCGCTGAAAGAAGGCAAACAATGCCGGCTATTTTTGCGGTCCTCTGGGCGACAGCCAGGTTGATAAATGGAACAGCCATTGGCAGCGAAATGTCGTGCGAGTTTTTCGGCCGATAGGCTGGCGTTTTCTACCTGACAAAGGAATGGAAGCCAGATGAAAAATGACCAAAACACGAATAAATGCAAAGTAGGTTTTTTGTATTCATGGTTGCAAGAAAAGTTTGCATCTTATTTCCCTGAATGTGCATACGGGCTGGTCGATAACATTGCACTTATGATCTTAACCCGGCAGGCGGTGGGCCTACCAGCCACCTTCCGCGCGGTGGGGGGGCACTTTTTTGCCCCCCCCCCGTATCTCCGAAACTACTGGACGGATCCGGAAAATTCAAAGAGCGTTCGATAGCCCTGTCAAATTTGTCGAAGGAAACCAAATTTCATTGACCTCGGGGTCACCGATGACGTCACAGGTCAGGTCAAAGATAAAATGTTTCACCGTTCACGGGGCTTCTAGGGAAAGCGCTATAACACCGAGTAAAACGCATTTTGTCGAAAATCAGCGATAAGGCGTCAGTTGTCTAGTACATATGTTGCTATTAGAGGTCACTGGTCATACCAGGTCAGGTCACAGGTCAGGTCACCAAAGGTCACCAAGGGTCACCACATGAGCCCAACTTTACTAAGGTTATGCGATGCATGTTTTATGGCCAGTTTTTCATTTCCAACTCAATGGTGTTGGTTATAAGACCATCAGGTACGGTTTAGGGTACTTTCTGGTGGAGGTCAGGTCAAGGTCAGGTCAAAAAAGGTCAAATTTCAAAGTTGATATTTTTGCATAAAATGGGTATCGATTCGATGCAGCTCGTCACGGGGAGTCTAATGGTGGTCTTTGTTTTGCGCTACGAGGTCTATAATTGCTAAAAATTGAGTTTGAAAATTTGACGTCATCAATTTTGAACAGTTTTTTTCGCTATAACTTAACCAAAAAAAGAGGTATCGATCTCAAATTTGGTATGTAGATAGAAGGCGGTAGGGGCTATCAAAGATATTCCGGTTTTTTCGAAATTCTAAAAACTTTTTTGATTTTTTGGCTATTATATTCAAAAAATCTATTTTTTATTTTTGGGGGTCAAAATTCAAAAAATTCGAAAAACCGAAATAGCAGTTTTGTAGCCCTTTTAATTCCACACCTCTTATGTCTGAAATATTTTTCTGTATCTTTAAAGCTGTAGGCCTGACAGCTCTTCCCGCGAAACCTTTTTTTGGGTCGAAAATGGCAAAAATGGCGTCACTCTGACGTCATTAGCGGCCAACCTATCATAGCCTTTGGAAAAAAATTTGGTCACCATGTGCGCTAGCTGCTCCCGGGAGGGTACTGAAAGTTTGGTGACGATCGGCGCAGCGGTTCTCGAGATATATCGAAAAAACTAAAGGGGGGAGGCAAAAAAATGCCCCCCCCCCCCACCGCCTGGAAGGTTAAGACGTCGTCGCCTGTAGCTATACTCGTAATTGCATAGTGTAGATATCGCAAGAGAACACAGTGACCAAGGTATATGATACCGTTAGCATGCCGTGAAATAGTTGTCAGAGAACATAAAATTAAAAATATAATTAGGTATCCACTATCCAACAATTTAATCAGCTTAATGCCAGAGGGACATGGGTGCCAAACGGACTTAGACATAGGAAATTAGCAATTAAATAAATAACAAAATATGTTGGCCGTCTTTACCGTCTTTGCATCAGCCCCGAACGTGCAGAAGTAGCATGTAAAGCCGGCTTTAACAGGATCCACGTTTAGTACCACTCTCCTATGAGGTGACACGGCACCTTATAACAGGATTACACGGCGACGGCTCTGTCTTCGGACTCCTGGAATAGACTATGCATGGAATGTGATGTTTCAGCCACGGGAACAGCGTATAGCAGGCCGTCGCTTTTGAAGCGATAGCGTAAAAATGTGATAAGTCGAAAGCAATCCACTTGTATGCCACACGTATAGCGATCTTCATTATGAAAATGCAAAAAGAATGAATAAAATGATGAAAAAGGATTGAAAAGCTGGACGCTAAATCTGTAATCCTCGTTCTTTAGAATTATGTATTTCAATCATGCGTCTCTTCAGGCTTCTCTGCTCTGGAAGGTCCCAAAATAACATTGTGAATCTCGGACCATGAGCCGAACTTCACTTAAACACGCGTCTTCACGTTAGCATAATTTATCGACATTAAGTTATCCTCTTTAAATCAATCAGCTGGTCCAACTTTGACCGGCAGAAAGTCAACACTGCCCACCTAACTAACTACGTGCCGACGTTAGATCATTTGGGTCGTCGAGCGAGGGCTATGGGGACTGTGCCGGCCACCTGTGGAATGCCGGGAAATCCTCTAAGATTTATGTACTTCCGATAACCCAGTCGACTGCTCTGGTCGGGAGAGAGGGCTCAGCTCTGCCCAGCTGCATAGTCCGGTCGGTCGGGGAAGTCCCAGGCCCCCGGCTGAGCTTATCAGACCAGGCAAATGAATCACTGCAGGTCCATGTAAGTTCTTAGTAAAATAACATGGCAATTATTGGGAACTGACTCCAATTCGCTACACATAACGTGTCGATTTCTGTTGAAAAGATCAATCCGTGACTATTTTTTTTTTTGCTGCTGATTCAGAAAACTACTCATCTGAAAGAACGATTTCAGCTGAAGCTATTCATCCTACTCACAAATGTTACGACTTGGTCACGAAGTTCGGTGCTCCAGCCTCTTCAGTGGAGAGCTGACCCCAAGTTCGGGTGGCACGATTTCGGGCAATGGTGGAGGTCGGTGTCGAAAGTGTCGAAAGTTTGGAGTTCTGGGAGGATCTAGAAGACGATCTGCCTCGGCCTTACTTGCCCGTTTTATCTGAATTTGAAATAAGTCGTCGCCGTCTCCCTCCGTGAGAGATGAAAAGTTCGTTTAATCTTCGTTCCAGATTCCTTTTATAGCATTTGTTTAATAACATAGCTGTGCCACTATAACGGTGATGAGAAATCACTATTCCCTACCTTATTATGTTATTTATTATATTAATATATTCTATCGCTGTATCTAAATCGATGCTCAGCACTCCTATTGGTCATAATCATTTGTCGTATCACTTTAAATATATAATGGATGATGTTTGTGTCATGATTATTGTTTATTTAACTCGTATGGTTGCACTAAAATACACATGTTATGCTGCACCATGCGAGTGTAAATTAGCCCTTTCCCCACCTGCCTTCCAATCTACCATTTATCACTGCGCACCTTCCATCTAATCTCTCCCGCCAGACAGGTGACCCTGCGCCTCATGCAGTGACCTTTGACCTGACCTATGGCGCTCCTATGGGTGCCGTGGCGGTGGTTCCAGCCGCTGTCGGACCGAGCAGTGACCACTGGAAGCAAAGGTCCGTTTTGGCGCGGCCGGTGTCGGTCGGCGGTTCGTTTTGACCGTGACCGCTCGGGTGCAGAGTGGCCGGGCGACGTGCCGCAGCGGCGGCGACCTTTCGTAACGAGCCCCCGTCTGATCTGGTGAGACATGAGCCTCCTCCAGCTGCAGTGAATTCTGATCCAGCAAAGGGTGTGTGCCCGGAGAGAGACGACTGGGCCATCACTCAGGCTTAGGGCTGCCGTACAGGCGAGCCATCTGGAGTAGGGGTCGTTACCTCTGAAGAAGACAAAGAGTTATTTAAGGCAGCAGGTCAATTTTATACGAACGGCCAGCTATTCCGTTTGAGATGTCATTGCCCTTTGATATCAGTCATCCGATCGCTGATGAGATCACGCGGTTCGAAATTTATATTAAGGAATGAAAAGCACCACCGGACACCGATTTTCACGTTCTGTCATTGCTTTGTTTTGATACTTTCCGATCATTCATTATATTTTTTGAAGGGTCGGAATGAATTAGGCATATGTTTGTTGATCCAATTGGATAAAATGAATGCCCATCATAAATAACGTTTCAATCAAAGCTAATTATGAACAAATTCGATGGCACTATATCTATAGTACCTATCCATTTTGATGATCTATCCGAACAGCCCACCGTGTTTGTAGCAGCCATGCAATGTAATGTTGGCATTCCTGCACGTGAGCGCTGAAAATGACGCTGGAACTCGCGTGCCATTGCACACGAAGGTGGATTTACAGCAGGGCTGGGGCGTCACAGGCATCATTGCTAATTCGCAAAGGTCGACATCTAGGAATGAGTGGTGGGCTGCATTCATCTTGTTAGTAGATTGCATGTTTATTGAAAATAAATTGGAGGGACAACACATAATGCGCATCCCCTTCGTTGTGTTACGTGTGCAGTCGAAAAAGTGCATCGCGCATTCAAATTGAGGATAGCTACTGGGGTCGCTCAAGGAGATCCATAGCATATGAATGCACAAACCCTCTTTGGCCCATGTTCAAATCTTACCGAAATCCGCTGCCACCGTGACACTCCATAGCTGCAGAATCAGTGACGTCACGATCAGCGCCGCCTGCTGCGCGTGCGCAGAACGACACTGGCCGAGGTGACCTCGTCTGAGCAACATTTCATGCCCAGCACGCGCGGGCACTCACAGACGGGGACAGGCATGGTGACGCATCCTCGGCCTGAAAACAACAAAAACACGCCACTGTGACAATGCTCGTAATGGCATACAGCTGCGGGTGCGAATATAAACAACACACAATCTGAATAGTGACTTCGATCCGTACCAATAAAGGCAATTATTCACCATTATCTTCGGCATCATGATTGGTCCAAGGTTCCAACATTTTCTAACATATTACAGATTTTAACATTTCAGCCTGGGAGTTCATTCCTCTTTTAAGTTCACTGTGGATCTCCTCGGAACGTGTCAATTTTGTCGCCTTTCTTCCCCATTGTCCCCTCCTCTCCCTTTCTACACCAACCCCATCGACCCCACGCCTTCTTCTTATTCCTTCCATTCGCTCTCTCGGCGGCTCGTCGCCTTTACGGGAGCCGGCTCCATTCTGCATTCGACCGCAGCCGGCCGCCATCCACGCATTGGAAAAACTCCCCGGCTCAAAAACTCTCCAGACGGAATCTGAGGAGGGTAGTCCGCTCCAGTGGCTGCGGGAGTTTGGACAGATGGGGAAATGTCTGGTAAACACACAGGAGAGGCTGTGACAGCTGTCAGATGGAGAAAGCGACGATTTCGGCGCGGCTGACACGACCAGGAGCTTTCTCACGGCGGCTGAAACACGGTAGAAGGTGTTGCATTCGCCTGTGGGATTTAAGGAGCTTTGTGAGGTCTCGTGTGGCCCTAGAAAGTCGCGCCGCCAGCACTTACACGGAGCTGGATCACGAAGTTTTCTGATTCAGTATAGCAGCTGCTCTTAGCGAGTGCGGGATTGAGTGATATGTCACAGAAATCTGTCCTGACAGCCGCAGCTTGAGTTCGAGAACAGACAACGTGTTCACGCAGATGTGCTGGCGAGAGGACTGGAGGGAAACAGTCCATTGTCAATTGTCAGTTAAAGGGTAAGAAAGAGACAATTATTCTAAATCATTTGAGACACCTTAAACTTAAGTTTTTGGAAAGACAACGTTTTATAGCTACTAATCACATTCCACACGCAGCAACAAATTTAACATCACACTCTTCCTCTTATGCTGCATGTGGATGAACGTCCTCACTCCTCGCTTCCCATACGTTATTCATAGCCCCATATGTTTTCCAAGTATCTTGTATGCATTACTCGTGCAATTCTTGTGTCCAAGCAATATTTAAACTGCTCTTATTCATACCGACGTCACTAAAATGTTGGATTTTTAACCATTTTCATTTTCTCGACTATTTTTTTTTTCTCAGATATTCCAAGCTGTAAGATGCGACAGCTCTACAGTGAAGCGACAAGGCAAACTTCTATAATCACATCTGTGAGTTAAGTTTGTGCGTAAAGATAACGGTAATCCACCGGTAATCACATTATACGGAGGGTTACACGCACCTTATATTTACTTGCGCGTAGACGTAGACGGGTGACAGACGATTGTAAATTTTTTAGCGATGGTTCGATCATTAAGGCTGCCCAGAAACCATAATCCTTTATGGCGTAACAGACTAAAGCGATTAATCACCAAATCCAGAATTGATTTCTGAAACTGCCCCATTTGTGGTCTTCAGCCCGCACAGGCTTTAGTTAGTTTGCTTACTCTGTTGGGATATCTCCTTAAATATGACCCAAGCACAGCTTTATAATCATGCAAATGATGAAAAGTTATGATTAGTTTCTGAGAATTTAGCAGCTGAGTCACATTTTCCACCTTCCACAGATTTAGAAAATGTCGCATCGGTTACTTGCCTAGTAGGAAGGAATTAGCATAGTTGGGATGTGGCATAGAAGCACAGTGAGAGAAAATGTGCACGTTTAAAACCTCGATGATGCGACATAGGTACTCAGCTTATGTCGAGGCTAGCTCAACGAATTTCAAGTATGCATCAAGGAAAACACTGAACGCGTCAGATATTCACCTAAGAACACTCAGTTACGAGTATGGTATGCATTGCATATTTTGTTGGTGGCATGCAGTGCATGAGACCATTACATTTCATGTCTGGCGGCAGTACTGCCAATTTATACTTCTCCTGAGGGAGCTTTGATGGTCGCATTGTTTGCACCTTCTCATGGCAGCACTGCATATAAAAATGGAAAAGAAACGGCAAAAGATATAAGGAACTTATGCCTGACTATGCCTGTACGTATATAGTGGGCAACTGAATAAATGAAAATAACATTGAGTGAGATCAGAAACCGCAACTTACCCTCGCCCGCACATGCCATTTTCCCATCCTAGAACGCACATGGGGGGGGGGTGGTTGCCACCCCCCCCCGCGCCATTTCGTTCCTGTTGGAGATAGAGCTTAGCAGTAAAGACCAAAAAGATTCTTTGGGAAGAGACGAATCCAATGATACCCAGTTTTACCTTCTCAGGTCAGTCATTGACCTTCCAGGTCAGGTCAAACTAAAAAATGTTGCTGTTTTGGGTCACCGTTGGATATCAAGTGCGCTGCTTATCAAATACCGATGACGATGCTGTTTTCTGGTGCCAAGCCAGCTAGAACCTCTTTGTCACACTATCCGACCAGAATTTTGCTGCTGAGGTCATTTCAGGTCAAGTTAGGTCAAGGTCAATTATATGTGTTTGTATGTCTGTGTGTGTCTGTGTGTATACTGATGTGTGCACCGATTGTTTTTGGGTCCATATCACATGAAATCATGATCTGAGAAGCTTTTACCCAAAATGCAGTCAAAAAACTTCACAAAAAGTAAATTCAGCTTGCCTAAAACGCAATTATCTTAGATGACCTAGGTTGACCTTGACCCTGACCTTGACCCCTGTACATCGTCGAACAACATGTTCCATGATAGGTGGGAGGTAAGACTGGCAAAAAAGGCCGAAATCAGGGTGTCAAAAGCTCACAAGGCCCATGGCAAACGCAAGATGTTGAGAATTGGCCATTTGGGTCATGACATGACCTGAAAAACAAGGTCATATCTCCGAAACCAAAAATCACAGAAACTTGAAATTTTAGTGGACATCAAGAAAGGATAGACGAGCAGCTATACGAAAAATCAGCCTTCTAGCTCTAAAAATGTTAAGTGCAGAGCAGAAAGACTGCCTGGGGGGGGGGTGGCAACCACCCCCCCCCCCCATGTGCGGGCGAGGGTTAAAGGTAGTGTGCCACCTTTGAAAGATTTCCCATTTTATTTTTCCTAGGATAAGAAGCTTCTGTTTTTACCTAATATCGCAAAAAAAATCAAAAATGGGCCTGGAATAGTGCCTTTTTCGCCTAAAAGTTTATCGGTTTTTAGATATGTATAACAACTGTAGTGGGCTCACCTGCAAACAGGCGTCGGGCAACAATCGCGAATGCGGCGCACTTGTGACAATAAGCAAAGGTCATTATAGTGTTACGACCATACGACGTACGGGAATGAGTTATCAGCTGTCTAATCGTAGACAACACAATGTCGAGCCTTAAACTGTAAGCCCGTATTGGTATTGTTTCTTTTATTTGGCTGTCGAACATTATTTATGGTTTGAAATATGATTTTATGTAAAATAATTGATATGAAAAAGCCGTCTTTTAAGTTATGACCCCATTTCACCACACGCAAGTGGCAGAAATGACAATGATCAGCTGACGCATTTTTCTTGGCCGAAGTCAGAGCGCGCGGCCCGACGCACCACGCGTATTTGGAAATTCCGACCTCGACGAGCATCAGAAGCCACCTAACAGGCGTGTTCGAAACCGCAGGAGATGATGATGAACGGGTTTATCGAAACTTGATTGGATGAGCATATCGGTAATAGCGATTTCAGTGTGTGCATTTATTGTTCATAGTGGTGTGAAATGTGGTTGGGGTACGACCGACAACCCGTCGGGGCGAACTTCGCACTGGGGTACTCAAAATTTGAAGAATTTAAGACGTTTCCATGAGTTTTGAAGGTATGGATAAGATCTAAAAATCCGGTTCTCCTTATCTGGGCCATTAACTCCATACGGTCCAAGAAAGCTGGCACACTACCTTTAAATCAAACATCGCAGCAAACATGCAAACGCAAACTACAGGCTAGCGAAAAGCAGGGGTGGTGACAACAGCTAGGGCAAATATTTTAGCAATTCAAGAGAAAGTGAAAAACACTCTAAGCTCCCTACAGGGCTTTTTTCTACCAGTCAACCTAGTGTGCGAACGGTAATACAAGAACTTCATTTCCAACGCAATAACGCATTGAAGTACACTTTTCAGCAAAGAACCTCAATCTCAAGTGTTAGTAAAACTCTTTCTCAGATTGACAATGGTTGTATAAAGGGAGGGTTGATTTCTTGCAGTTCGTCTCATTGACTATTGATAAATGCTAATGTCATACTTGAGAATCACGCTTTCAACGAAATGGTTGAATGGCGAAAAGCTAAGGACGCATTTGGCCACCTACTATTCAGACCATCAGGTATTCTTAGTTTACGACCCCTGTTTAGTTCAGTAAATGATAACTTGTAAGTTAATGCATAGGCGTTTACTTATCTTTCAAAAATATCATGTTTCCGTGCTTGTTTAATGTGTTCGTGAAGCCCTTAGGCGTTTCTGGTGTACTTTGGTATGCTAGTGTCATCCATTGTGATCTGGACGGTACATAACGTGCGGCGTAAATAAGCACGTGCTGCAATTATATCAATACTAGCTTCCATATCAGCCATTAAAAACGTCCATTAGTCCAACATTTCCTTAATTAATTTGTTCTGGCGAGCTTGACCACTCTTTGCCGCCGCTAAAGGAATGTCTGAAGAACTGCAGAAGTTTTCAAACGTCAAACTTTGTATGGCGCCAACTAAAACTGACATTTCTGGCAAACATCATGCATAGCGAAGCTAGAAGAGGTAGGAAAACGCGCGATAAAGGCAATTGATAGCCCCTTTAGGGCTGTTCTGGGGCTGTCGTCAGGCCTCAGATAACGTCAGTGCTTCGACCTCCAGGAGACCGAAGACGAAATTACAGGACATGCTGATAGGTTACCGGGCGCATCGTCCTGCTAAGTAAATTTAACAATTTATTTTTCGAGATTTGCATTAATCCAACTGGAGGTATTCACAGCAAAAATGTTTATGAAGAAAGTATGCCGAGCTTAGCGCCACTGGAACATTGCTGAAGCAATTTTAAGTGATGCTCCCTTTATCTTGCAGGGTAAAATAAATAGCCGCTGAATGCTGATCGTCATCGTCAACGATCTAATTAGACTTCATAGTTCATGCCCGCGAAAGGATTAGTGTGAGACAGCATCAATAAAACCAATATTTGGCGTTCAGTTATAACTTGTCTTCCGTACTCAACTATCCGGAAGAATTTTGCCACGATGCTTTAAACTAAACGTTCAATCATAATTTGCCAACTATCTGATATTTTCAGAGGCGCGTTCCGCCCGCGGCCGACACATGTGGTCAGATTTCCACTCTTAACACCCAGTTTATTGCCAACTGATGGTCGCACATTCTCCTGCTGAGCCCCAATTGCAGCAGATAGCCGAGCGCACGCAACGAAATAGTGGTAAGATCAAATCGGGAAGATTTTCCTACCGTCCTTTCCGAGAGGCTCTTCCGTCCAGGGATAGGAAAGAAGGAGTTATTAGATGAAGCAATTTAAAAGTGAAGAAAAACAGGCTGAGGGCACTGAAAACCGAATTACATCAGACAGCAATGCGGGGAGATTATCAAGCAGGCAGCCTCTTGGCTGTTTGTGATGTAGGCTGTGCCGCATACCATCGTGCTCTGCGGTACAGCCTGGCATTGCAGGCACTCTGCCGGAGCGCGTCGCGTTACAGGGATCGGGAGTTGCTTCAGATTAGAACACAACTTTGCTACAGTAAAGGCTTTACCCGAGCTGCGTTTAATGTTATGCATTCAGCAGGTAACGGTGAAGGCGCATCCAAGAAACATAGCTCAGTATTCCGTCACAGATGGTAGGTAATAAGTCTTAGGGCAAGCCTGCTGTTCAACATAGACATGTCTTTGGGAGTGACTGTTCCTTCATGGCTGATTGAGCTTGGTGCTGCTAATGCATTAGCATGCCCTCGTGGAAACTGAAGTGTGTCAATGCTTGCATACATCAAATATGAAATTTGCATGCTTTTCAGCGGCACTAGGATGGCTGTCAACTTGTCACATTGCACCCATGGGCTGTCACAATGAATGTTTATTGTACGATGGAGCATAATGTTTTCCAGCGGAATGACCCAGCAATTTTCGACGAGCATTGAGCTGCTTCGTTTCGCACTATTTAATTTGACTATGCACACGAACGTTAGGATGAACACTAAGGTTTACGAAATAAAACGTTATAAAGTAGGGATAGAAATGTTAGGTATAGCAAATGTAAAATGTGATTAATAAAACGAAATAAAATGTAATAGTATGGCGTCAGCCATTGTCCATGCTCATTGAAAGCCTGATCGCACCCGGTTGCAAAGCGACTCATATTTTCGCCTTTTCCGTTCACCACTTGCCACTTAGAATAATACTGGCCAGCGTGCCTAATGCCCAGTGTACAATAATAATGTTGGCCGCGCCATTTTTTTCCTACTGTGTCAATGTGTGTACGCATAATGAGCCTCTATCTATAGCAAAGGAATGGAATGTGACAGTAACGTGTATTAGCTTCCTATTCGCCCTGCGGCCTGCTATTATTTTCTGCAAAAAGGCGTAATTGGATAACATAAAGCATGCATGAGGGTATTGGATAACATTGGAAAGCATATTTGTATATCATACCCACACCTGTTCAATGGCTTTTTAACAGTTTGACTTGATCAAGCGGGGCCGATTACCAAGGAGTTTGGATCAAAGTTTCCTGGCTCCAATGATTGGCCATTGGCCAAGGTATTTATTTGGCCACAATCTAATTGCTTTTTGATATTAGATGGCGAGAGCTCTGAGACGAGTTCATGATTGAATGGAAAACAATCATGAACCTCAACAGAAGAAGAGGGCTTTAAAACCAAAAGTTTACTTGTCGAACAGTTTCAAGAGGCTTCGGTCAATAATATGGTATCGAACAATAACTGAATTGTCAATTCAAGTAAAATGTTTGCTCTTCTTGAATTTAGGTGATGCACTTTACATGATCAAGCATAACGTTTATGTCTACTTTATCAAATGTATGGAATGTATTGTTTAATTTTCTGTTTTCACATTGTGACGGTAACATTCAGTAGCAAAAACACAAAGCTTCAAAATTCAAAGAGATGCACCGTGTAATTTTTTTTGTTTTTGTTTATAAAAGTAAACGTCAATCCCAACCTCTCACACGGGCACATCAGCATCCGGAATCCCATCATCTGACTCCGTGTGTCGTACCTGTATCACCATACCTCCTTCTATCCTCCACCAGCTCAGTTTCCTCCCTCACCGATCCTCGTCGACACAGACCTCCACTCTGCACCCGGCACACCTTCTCACACGCCGTCCGCCGCCCGACTGAACCTCCGACCGTCCGACCGTCCGACCGTCCGACCGCGCGGGCGACCGACCGAGCGGGCGCCGAGCACCCACCAAGGTGTCCGCCGTGCCCCCGCGCCCCGCAGTCGCCCAGGCAGAGATGACGACACGCCCTCGAGCCTTCACAGTCCCCGCTTACAGCTGCGTCTGAAGACGTCTACATGTGCTCCGAGGGGAGGGGAGATGCCATGCGCCGTCACTTGCGCAGGGAGAATGGTTTGTTTATCCGCGTCCGATGAGGGATTGATTATTGTAATTGCGCGCGTGATTTATTCACGATGGTGCACTTTGGCAATAGCTGATCGCTCATGGCTCATGGACAGCCCATAAATTTCAACAAGCGGATGAATTGCATGCATAATGAATGATACGTATTAATAGGCATAATTTGATATTTACATACCGCCCTGGAAAGATCAACGCTCAATCGTCATTCAAGTTCAATGAGTCAAATCGAAAAAGATATTTCTACGCTTCGTTCGAGCTCGCAAAGGCGTTGTTGTGATTATGGGTCTATGTATTGTGCACTCCAACAATGCCTTTGGGTGAGGAAAAGCCCACAATACATAGCCGAAGACGAGGGTATGTACATTGCACAACGCATCAAGCATGTACGCGAAGCTGCACAATTACACGAATGATAAAATACAGTCGCGTCGGTGGCGGAGGGGAGGTGGATGGCGAAAAGCAGGAAGCGCCGCGCTCAGCCCACGGCTCAGTGGCTGACTGCTCTCGGCGGCGCTGCGAGCGCGAATGACCCGGGCTCGGGTCATGCGGACCTGACGAGCGGGCGGTATGACGCAATCACATGGGCGGCGCTCGCCCTCACCGCGGAGAAAAAACATTATCAGTTGACTTATAATGTTACATTTCTACGCTTCGTTCGAGCTCGCAAAGGCGTTGTTGTGATTATGGGTCTATGTATTGTGCACTCCAACAATGCCTTTGGGTGAGGAAAAGCCCATTACCCCCACGAACCCGAGAACGATGCGTAGGCAGGTAAGCTTAGCAAAATTAAGTGCAGATAAAAATTTGCATAAAAGTAAAACAAATGCATTCACCCGGCGCATGTCCGGCACACAACATACAATAGCCGCAAACGGTAACTGAGGAGCGCGTGAGACGCAGCTCGCTTCAACACCAGCACATGGTCCGCAACACACGCAGCGTGCTTGCAAATTAGCAAAACTACATCTGCTGCATACACGGAAGCCCTAGCGAGTTACATTACGTTGAGAGTAATGCGCTGCTATAGCACGGGGGAGATCAGCAGAACAGGGACTACAGAACATTCGTGTCGCGAATTTCGGCTGGCGTAACTGGCACCAAACTTGGACCAGCGCGCAGCTGCATGAGCGGTGTAGCGGCGTAACTGGCACCAATCTTGGACCAGCGCACGGCTGAGCATTACAACGAAAAATCGGCCGGCGTAACTGGCACCAATCTTGGACCAGCGCACGGCTGAGCAGTGTAGCGGCGAGACTGGCACCTTTCTTGGACCAGCGTACGGCTGAGCAGTGCAATGAAAAATCGGCCGGCGAAACTGGCACCAATCTTGGACCAGCGCACGGCTGAGCAGTGCAACGAAAAATCGGCCGGCGTAACTGGCACCAATCTTGGACCAGCGCACGGCTGAACAGTGTAGCGGCGAGACTGGCACCTTTCTTGGACCAGCGTACGGCTGAGCAGTGCAATGAAAAATCGGCCGGCGAAACTGGCACCAATCTTGGACGGCTGAGCAGTGCAACGAAAAATCGGCCGGCGTAACTGGCACCAATCTTGGACCAGCGCACGGCTGAGCAGTGTAGCGGCGAGACTGGCACCTTTCTTGGACCAGCGTACGGCTGAGCAGTGCAATGAAAAATCGGCCGGCGAAACTGGCACCAATCTTGGACCAGCGCACGGCTGAGCAGTGCAACGAAAAATCGGCCAGCGTAACTGGCACCAGCGCACAGCTGAGCAGTGCAACGAAAAATCGGCCGGCGTAACTGGCACCAATCTTGGACCAGCGCACGGCTGAACAGTGCAAAGAGAAAGTTCGGCTGGCGGAACTGGCAACCTTTCCTTTCGGACCAGTGCACGGCAAGAGAGCCAGGAGAATCGCTTACATGAATCCTCTGGCCAAACTGGCACAACGACCAACGCTCAGTGGAGCATGGCGACTAACACGCACCGGAAAGAGAGCACGGGAAGAAGCACGGAATACTACAACTGCGTCGTGGCCAGGACTCAATGGCACTGCACGTGCACCAGTATGTTCCTGTAGCCCGCAACGGACCATTTCGCCGCGACGGAGAGGGGCAAAAAAACAGCGTGAAAATGGCATGGAACGTTGAGCAATTTGAACGAAACATGGTGACTTGCCGGCGAGCGTTACATAGCTGTCCCAGCTCTAGCAAAAGCATTGCAGTACGCAAAACTCTGCTTGGCCAAAGGTTGTCAACATTTGTGACGCTGACTAGAAACAGGCTGTCAGAAGCCGACTCCCGAGGAAAGTTCTGCTCCTTTCAGACAGCGTGATAGGCTCGTGTCGTAGCAGGAGCCAGCGCTACTGCCATGAACACTTCTATGGATTACGGGGACGTGGTAGCCCCAGTCCCATGGCCTGGGCAAAAAGGACCAACATCATCGGCCATGCCCTGAGATCCAAACGTGCTGTCTTTCTGACCGCCATGCGATGGTGCGGACGGAACGTGCCTTGGTGCAGATCATACGTTCGGCGTAGGAAAACACTCCCAAGGCCGATCCACCCACGCACGCAAGTTATGAAACCAATGTAAGATTTGAACGTCGCGATAGGGGAGATTTTTAAGCGTTAATAGCGAGCCTAATCCGTCCTACCCCGGTGATCACACTGGAGCTTCACTTTCTGCCCGATGGACGCACTCATGCTGATGTATCTACAGTACTCATTAAGAACTTGGAATGTAAAACATTCTTTACGTGGGAAGGTGAGGATACGGTAGGGCTCCTTTGCCTTGCTAGAGCAAAAAGGAACGTGGAGCTCGCTGCACATGCGCTGAAGCGAATTCAGAGACGTCATGAATGCCGTCTTTGAAAAAAATATCAGCACAGAAACCATCCGTCCGAGAGGATTGTCTATGAGTCAGCTATATTTGGGGGTCATATTTCTAAGTGTCTGTGTTCTAACTTATAAGGTGGGGATAAATTCATTAACAGATCGGCCTCCGGAAGGGAGAGGTAGCGGTTAAAGTGTTACATCCCCGGCGTTTTCGGG